TCTCTCTGAGAAGAAGAAGGAGAAGAGAAGAAGAAGAAGAAGAAGAAGAAGAAGAAGAAGAAGAAGAACAGTGAGTATGGAGGTGGGAAGCAGGAAGAAGGAGAAGAAGAAGAAGAAGAAGAAGAAGAAGAAGAAGAAGAAGAAGAACAGTGAGTATGGAGGTGGGAAGCAGGAAGAAGGAGAAGAAGAAGAAGACAAGTCCCCTCTGTCTCTCCCTCACCTGCTGCTGACTGGCGGAATGACACTCTCTATCGTAACTTAGGGCTCCCAATCTGCTGTTGTACTGATTGTGTGGAGGTGCGAAGAGGCCTTCTGTTTTCAAGGGACTTGAGTGCTTATTGTGTGCTTGCATGCGTGTGCTCTTGGGCTTGTCAATTCTGCTTCCGGTTTGGTCTACTCATGCATGGTCTTTAACGAGTTCTTGCCGATCTCACGTGCTGGTTAGTTGCACGTGTGTGTTGGGGCATGATAACAGAGACTTCTTCTGCCAATCCTACAAATCCTTTGCACAGGCCAAAAGGAAACAAGGCCTAATTGCTCTACCTTCCCGCTTCATATACCACATTATGGTAGGATAGAACATGTGGGGCCAGGAACCTTTGTGAACACGAAGGAATATGAGCCTGAAGTGTGGCCACTTTGCACAGGCCGAACTGGACTCATCCTAGCTGAGGAAGACCACTACCTAGTGATAGAAACATGCGATTGGTCGCAAAAAGCGTGTGGGCAATATTGGTTGGTACGTATTGTCCTCACTAACAACAGTGGAGATGTCTCTCTGCCTGGTGTGCAGGGCACAAAATAGCTGCAGATGTGTTACCAACGTACCAGAAACTGGTTGCATTCTGCTTTGTAATGACAAAAAGTTTCTAGCTCAGGGTCACACAGAGGGAACAAGAAAAAAACAGTCTCAGGAACTGTGGCAGTTTCAGGAGGTGAAGGGCTGCATTTTTGTGCATTCTTCTCTTGCTTTGTGGTTCCCAGGACCTAAATTGCAGATCTTGCTTCAGGCTGGATGGTTCTGGGGCCACTACACTCAACAGTGTCAACACCAATTATATTGAGAAAACTTACAGCTCCTGCTGCATGAAACTGCTTCGGCACTTTCACGAGGTGACGGGCTCACATTTTCCTCTGTTCCTTTTCTTGTTTTGTGATTTGCACATCTTAAATTACAGATCTAGCTTCAAGCTGGATCATCGTGGGACCACCATATGTGGCACGAGTTATGTCAAGGAAGCTTGATTGCCTGAAACTGCTCCATGAGACTGGAAGGATGATGTCCTGTGGACCTCATAAGAAAGCTGGTGCACGGCCAATGCCATCCATATTTTGTGACTCCAGGCCCTGGTACACTAACTCGGCAAGGACACAGTAGGAGAGCGGACCCTCTTATTGTCTTGCTGCTAGTGGTAACTTAATCCCAATGATACACTATGGATGACTCCATATGCCTGTAAGAAAACCTGCCATAAAACTCGCAGGACTGATGGTGCTATGTGAACAAATCACAGGTAACTGTCTGAACAGGGGAAAGAGGAGCCGAGATATAGGCCAGGTGGCAAGGGTCTTTCTTTACAACCGGTGTCAAGAACTGTTATCTCAGGTGTTACACTTTGGTTCTCATGTTACAAATCTCAATTCAGGGATAGTGGGCCAGAGAAGCGTGATCACTTTGGGACTCGTGTTACAAACGTCAGTCAGCCCTACAGAGTGCGGACTCACACTAGTGCACCTCGTGCCACATTGAGATCATGTCCAGTTTTTTGAGTTAGCAGAAGCCATGGAAATATGCAATAATTTAAAACTTGGACATGAGCAATGCCTGAGACAACAGACATGATTCTGTCAGGAGGTTCCTGCTCTACTTTCTGGTGGCATACAGAATAAATTCTGCAATGACAATAAGACAGCTGAGTTCAGTTCACAGGGTCAGTGGCGTAAGTATGCAGGACTCAAACATTGATGACTAGGTGGTGATGTGATAGGAGTGGTTTTGGAAAAGAGCTCCTGAAGTGTGTTCCCATTTGTTCATGTCCAGCCATTATTTGATACCTTCAGCTTGAAACAACCCCCACACTATTTTCCCATGTGGGAATAGGCTGAATTGTGCTGTGCTGTGCTGGGAAGGCTAGACTGGATTTGATGCGCTGAACTGGGCAGGAGCACTAGGATTTGGAGATTAAGGGGAAAAGCTGCACGGGGGCGGGCAGAGCCCCTATAAGTCGAGGATCAGACCAAGAACTGGGTCAGGGTCAAGAAATCGAATTGGAGTACCAAGTAGACCCCAGTTCGTGGGCTCCCCCGGCCGACGGGTCAACCCCGGCGCTCGCGCCGGGATGACCGCGGTCGGGGGGGGTGCAGCCACACGAGGAAACAGTGGGCCAGGTCCAAGTTCAGTGTTTCCAATTGGGAACAGATTTCCAGACTTTGAGACAGGTAGTGGTGGAAGTCTCGCTGATACTGCATCAGCACCCAGGGATTCAGCCGATGGTTCTTCTGCATCGCAATCTCAGCTACAGTGGCGCCAAGGTCGTGGTCCTGGCATTGGCCCAAATGCGACTAGAGTTGGCGAAGGGCCTGGATCAAGCAATGGCAGTGGCAGCAGTTCTCTCGAAGGAAGCATGGACAAGGAGGAAGAAGAAAGACGGAGCAGAGACAGACAGCTGGCTGAAGGGTCTGAGTCCGTGATCACCCAGTTCACAGGGAATGCAGGGCGGAAGGTTTCTAGGGCCCCCTTGCTTGGAGCTGGCCCGAGCTTTCTAAGGGGTGCACCCTATGTTCCAGCTGCCATGGCAGGTCGAGGGCTCTCAACAAGGAGCCTTCAGGAATGGGCACGGAGTATGGCAAATGCTGGTGCGCTGGATGGAAACACAGAGCAGCGTGCCCATCGATTATGGAGGACAATCATGGGTTGCTTACGTCCCTCACGTGAGGGAGAATACTGCAGGGGCTTAGATGCTGCAAACTCCAATACCAGCTCATTTGGTTCCATGTTTCCAAGCCCTGCTGGCCCGTCAACATCAGCATCTGTGGGTTTCAACCGACCATCTGCACCATTGCGCCGTGGCATTGCACCTCCTCGTCGGGCTAGCAAGGCAGTTCTTCCCCCAATTCGTCCTGAGGATGTGGGCAAGAAAACACTTGTACTGGACCTCGATGAGACTCTTGTGCACTCTTCGTTTAAGCCCATTCCGAATCCAGACTACATCATTCCTGTTGAAATCGATAACAAGATAACTGATGTCTATGTGCTGAAGCGCCCATGGGTGGATGAGTTCCTCAAGGCTATGGCGGAGAAGTTTGAGGTAAGAACGCATTACCAACCAGGAGGCCAGCCATCCGTTAACTGCATTCATGCATGCCCATCAACAACTCTCCTCGTATATAAACAGTGCTGATTTGAGCAAAGAATCCAAACCAGTCAGTCAGTTGAGGGATGGGCATAAACCATACTTGCACCGCATAGGTGAGGTGCTCTACGCAGTGCGGTGTGCACGGCAGGGTGCACTGATCAGCACAAAAAAGAAAAGAGGCGACCTTGATGTGTGTCTACAAGAGAGAGAGAGAGAGAGAGAGAGAGAGAGAGAGAGAGAGAGAGAGAGAGAGAGAGAGAGAGAGAGAGAGAGAGAGCAAAGAGCCTTTTCACATTATTCAGAAAACCCCTGCCGATACTTCAGAAGTCCCCTGCCAAAAAAAAAATTTAGCAAGGATCTCCTCGGCACGACGAGGGTAGTCGTTTGGCTTGTAGAAGGCCATGGCACGCCAGCTATACATGGTGTAGCTTCGAATTCGGGTCCGTGTTTCAGCAGTTATGGCTTACTGACTTACTAACTCGGCATGTGATTTTCATGGCTTCACTCCACTACTCACCAAATGTGGAAAACTAGAATGAATCTTCTCCTAGAAACTGGAACCATACGCCGCCATATGTTTTGTCTTTTGTGCAAGTGGTGATGACTGGAGCGAGGCCATTAGGGCCACTGCACGTAAGAAAAGGAAAAACAAGAGAGCTACTGTAGTGTTAGCAGTAAGTTAGTAACCCACAACCGCTGGAACACAGACCTGAATCAGAATCCAGAGTATATTGCTTGCCTGCTCATGTCCTCTCTGCATTTCGGTGAGCGTCTTTCCAAAAACATGGGACCCCTGCTAATTCTCTGCGGGGGACCCTTTGGAAAAGAGATGAGGAGTACCATGTGGCCCCAATTTTTTTTGTTTTTTTTGTGGACTTCACAATTTTCAGACGGGAGGGGCACATTTGGCTACCACAGTCTGCCCTTTTTTTTTTTTTTTCCTAAATAAAACAGGTCCTTATGGCCCTGAGTCTTCACTTTTTAAAAATTTTAACCGACCCTATTTCCGTACATGCGCCGCATCACGTACGAGCACATGTGTGCGCGTGCGTTATGCGCCGCACGTGTGCAACGTGCGCGCACATGATGCGCCGCATGTATGGCATAAACATATCATAAGTTCATAACAGCATTAACCTGAACCATATGGAACTCATGATTCACATGTGGAAAGACACCTCAACCACCTGGGGTACCACTAGGAATAGAAATTTGTCTGTATCAACTCAACAAAGATATAACATGAAGCACATATATGAGGAGAAGTTATGGCACCATCAATCTCGACCCTTGGTGTAACCCCCGGATGTGAATTTTGGTCATCCACCTGCATGTAAATATCGATTCCGGCTGTACCCTGTGGTTCCACCACTCATTGTTCAGCTGTGAACCAGCCATTTGGAATTTGACATAGTGAACACTTGTTCAAGGAATATGAGCTAGAGCGATAGACAGAAGTCCAGATTGCAAAATCACGAAGTAGCCCAGATAGTCATGTACCAAGCAGAGAGCACAATGCACCAAGGTCCCATCCAAATAAGAGCAATACAATGAACTCATATGTCAATGTCGACGCTATTGGTCTCACCAACACAGAATCCAATGTCGCTCCTACTGTCTGGCACCCAGCGCCCAGCCTACATTACTCAGCCTATCTATGCCTGTCTACGTTCATGCAACTGGATCACATCGAAGTCGAAGACCAATGTACGCGACGTCATCACCAATGCAGACCGCCAGCATACACCAGGTACGCTCTCTCTCCTCTCACATCACCCCTTGACTTCCTACAGTGTGCATCCCCGACACCCAAGGACCACCATCACCATCACCAGCCTCCGCCGAGCAAGCCCGACTATGGCTGCTCAGTGCGCACTGCACCTGCAGCGCCCAACACCACGATGTGCCCGTGCTGTGCCTCTTCCTGCCCTTGGCCTACCAGCGGCCTCCAGCACTCAAACCAGCAGTGCTGCTGCCAGCAGGCACACGGCCAGAATGAGTTTTGGCTGCCGTGCTCACTTTCCTTTATGGAAAGTGAGCTCTGCTTTGTCAAGCTCTGGGCCTGGCCGGACGAGTTTCCAGTAGCTTCCAGTCGGGCCCCAGTGTCTGCGCCCAGGCCATCAGTTGCTGTTACGGGCCTGGGCCCTTTACGGTTGGGCACGCCCAGGTAGCCCATAAGGCTACAAGTGTTCGCCGCGATCTCATTGGCTGCTGGCCAGTGTGTGACGAAGATGCTGCATTCTCATGCCCGTGGCCGTTCTGTGATGTGTCGGCCTCCGGTGGCTCACGCCCAGGGCCTCAGCTGTACGTTCCCTGGGTTCAACTGCCTCTCGAGCTGCTGCTTCCGGAAGAAGCCAGGGAAAGGGTCACGTTACCCTGCAACCAACTGGCGTGCTGCGACTGTCTGATACCCCACATGCAGAATTGACAAAAATAGGCCTCTCGTAAATATTCTGGCCCGCCTTCACTTAGGACGGGCACAAGTCTGTACGGGGCCTCAGCCAAGATGTGGGGTGAGCCCTAGAAGGGCCACTGCGCAGATTCAGGCCTGCATATAGATTCCAACAGCCCTTTAGCGTGATCACACTGGCCTGTACCCAGGCCTTGGCACATACTAGCAGGCCCTCCTTCACTTAGGGCGGGCAATACCTTTTCCAGCACTTCCGAGGGCTCAAACCTTCGCATACCTGCCCCCTTAGCTTTGAAAGTCCCCTGAGAAGCCTTTATAACTCTCAGTCTGAAGTCTCTGCACTCTTGAGAATATACCTGATGATTGCAGTATACTTGAAGTAGCAGGACTTATCGCTGATGTCTCCATCCATGGTTGGGAGCAGCTCACATCCTTCGATAAAATGCATAATTCGTTCCAAAGATCTATGTAGGGATACGGTTTATTGGATATGTGCATAGGTTTTCTTGGATTTGGATAATGTAGGGGTGACTATCCGAATCATCCCAGACTAGACCTCTGACAACCCGTAAGCAAAGTATGGCGGTGTTAGAGATGTCAAAATCGCTGTCCAACTGCTCATGGCCTTACTAAGACTTATATCCGTACTTGGAGTAATGGTCTGTCAATTGTACTTGCTGTCAGATGCAAATCAACAGCCTGCAGCAGCTGCCGCGCGACGCTGTTGATCGATTTCCAGGTAGGAGAAAGTCTATCGTTAGCGTAGGCTTCCTGCTTAAATCCAAAATGTCCATTTGCCGCACTTAACGAAGTTTTCTTGAAAGTATTTTGCAGTTGGCTACCCCTCTTTGTCAAGCCACTTCCTTATGAAGATGACATCTCTACGATTGACTGTGCAGTTAGGCAGTCCGGTAACCCGTACCTGTTCATTCGTAGACAGGTTAGTCCTTGAGGCCTCAAAACTGGTTATAAACCTAGCATACTTTGGGAAGTTGTCCTTTCTGTAAAACACCTTGCTCTTCTTCATCTTGCTGGTTTGAAGTATATTTGAGAAACGGACCAGCGTGGGGAGAGAAAGTTTTGTCTAATTTTGAGGACAACCATAGTTAGTATAGTAGGTCTGCGGAATTCTCCCTGTGTTTCTGGTGTCCAGTCACATCATAATATTATTCTAAAAATAGACTACAACATCATCCTACCCCTTAACGCGGACCAGCCGCGGGGGGAGGTCCGTGGCAAGCTGCGCGCCAGGGGAGGAGAAAAAAAAAACTCGCAGTGGTTGGATCAGGCCGATCTGCGGGTGGGGGCACTCCCTGCCGACTTTTTACCAGAATGTTACCATTTCGCGCCAAACATCATGAGGGCAGCTGTCGGGGTGGCCGGCGGTGATCGCTGATGATGTTGAATATCTCTACACGCCAGCCGCCCGATAGCTAGCCCGCGTCAGTTTCAGCGCTCGCCTTGACTTTTATGCTTTTTTTTTTGTCGTTTATCCAGCTTCGAGCACTTATCATGGCGGTTGCTTTTTTAGGGGGGGGAGCTCAGCATTTGGCTTCTTCTGTTGTTTTGTTTTCTGCCATGTTTTTTTTGCGCCGCACAGTTTCTCTCTCTCTCTCTCTCTCTCTCTCTCTCTCTCTCTCTCTCTCTCTCTCTCTCTCT